CATAGCAGCTAGGCTTTTGAGAGTTGTAGTTCAGCAGTATTTAGATGGCCATAGGCTGCCCCATCCCTAGCTTGGAACATCTGGTAACTCTTATAACTCCAGAGGTCAGTCAATTTTATCAGAAATGCATTGTCCCAGCCCTGAAAAAGTAATTTAAGTTTGTGATTGCACTTTATATTTCTTAAATATGTGCAGCAATACAAAATCAAACTGATGCTAGAATTTACTGTTTTGGACAACTAATATTTAAACAGGTCCTCACAGCAGGGTCATTACAGACAGACATAGAAGAAGTAAAATTAATACTATTGAAGTTACTCTGACAAGGTAAACTGGATTCAGACTATGCAAAATGTACCTGGTAAAGTCAAGATTTTTGTATCGTGTCTGTAGGATGAAAAGAGAAGTGAAAGTTGCACTGGGCATCACCCAATTCAAAAACTGCTTTCTCCAGTAAGGATATTCTAGTTGACAGAACCCTCTGCCCAATATATGCATTATAGGCCTTGGTGAATCTCCAGCAAATCTAGAGGGAATTGTTCCCATAGTCTTAATTCTACTTTTTGAAGATTGCTACTATATAACTTGTGGAAACCATAACTAAGATTTCCTGCTTGTTGATGTTTCACTGGGAGGAAAAGACTTTACCTTTTCAATCTGTGTTGGGATTGTACTGGGTTTGTGTTTCCAATGCAGCCCTCACAATGCTGAGACACCAAAATAGCACAGCAGAACTACTTGATGTTGGAGAGAAAACTATGAAAGGAACCTGTGGCTTAGAGAGTTGAACTTTATCATCCAGAATAATGTCCCAGCTGCTAGGCGTGGTCTTCAGTGATACAGAAAAGGAAGGAAGCTAAACATTTTGTAATACCAGCTGTCTGCCTGCTTGTCAAGCATTGTAAGGGATAGAAGAGGGCTGAGTGCAGCTACAGACGTAAGAAAGGAGGAGATAGATAGAACATTTTTAAAAATGAAAGCTTAAACAGCTGAGATGTTTTGCAACTTGTTTCTTTAAATCCTTGCCAAATGCCAGCATCTACCAGGAAACCATGAACAGCTGAGAGTAGAGAACATAAAAAAATCTCATTTGTAAGAAACAAGTCACTTAATTCCTAATGGATCTACAGTATGTTTTGTTTCTTAAAGAAAAGCAATGTTCATATAACATGTTTATTACATGTAATTTACTTATGATTTATTTAATTCAGTATTATGGGTTCACACAATACACTAAACTTTAAACAAATGCATGGACTGGCTTTGCATAACCTGGTAAGATAAAATATCATTGACTAGTATTTTTACAGCATGAATCAAAGGAGATTGGTTATAATTTAGTAAATCATGTTAATTTATCAAGAATTGGCATGTTGTATGAATATAGCAATTCAATTAGGATTACTTAACCATTTTCCTCACTGCTGGGAGGAGACTTCAGAAAGGATTACATGAAAGCTAATGACCCCCATTGTTATTGTTAGTTCTTTTGGTGATATCCACATCCAGTCCCTTTGAAGTAGGCTGAAGGAAGTGAGGGCCATAAAGCCCCTTTGTTCACCCCCTTCCCTTCATCATATGACAGAATCCAGAGCAGGCAGAAATGCGGTTTTTCATAGTTGATAACTAGAGATGGAATATATTTGGATTCTGACACATGTTCTCACCTGCACAGTGTAAAGTGATACTATCATTTCTTGTCTTTTTTTTTAAAGTTTTTATTGGGTACAAAGGAAAAAAAAAAGATTAAAAACATTGAACATGGTAAATTGTCTTTGACTGACATCTCAGTCCATATTGTACATTAATTACATATAATATATCTATATACAACTGTACATTTCTGGTCTCTATTTTAACTTATCTCTTTTTCCCCTCCATCTATAAAATTTATTCCATATTTGATAAAATTCTGTTTCTTCCTGTTTTTTTAATCTTTTGGTTATCCTATCTAATTCTGTGCAATACATAATTTTCTTAATTAGTACTTCCCCACTCGGTACTTCCATTGCTTTCCATTTTTGAGCAAATAGTATCCTTGCTGCTGTAACCACATGAATAATTAGATATGTGTCATCTTTATTTACATCTTTCTCTAGTATTCCTAATAGTAATGTCTCAGGTTTGTATTGAATGTTTTACTTAGTCATTTCTATCACTTCTTGTCTTGATGCTATCCCTCTGTTGATATATCCTAGGACTGCATTAGTTTTTTTGGCTGCTGCAGCACACTGCTGGCACATGCTTAAATGGTGGTCGGCTAGGATACCTAGATTCCTCTCTCAGTTACTACTACTACTATAAAATACCACCTATTTTATAACTGTGCATTTGGTTTCTCTTGCCTTTATGTAAAACCTTACTTTACTCACCACTGAATTGCACTTTGTTGAATGTTGCCCGGTATTTAAGTCTTTCAAGGTCCTCTTGAATCTTGTGTGCATCATCTAGTGTTAGCTATTCCCCTAGCTTGATGTTGTCTGCAAATTTGATGAGTTCACTTTCTAGCTCCTCAACTGCATGCTTCCCTCCATCTAGATGTAGATCTATTGAGGACTACCCACTGGTAACCAGTTGGGAATCCATCTGATGATGGTATTGTCTATCCCACATTGTTCTATCTTAACAAGAAAATGGTTTACTTTGTCAAATGGCTTACTGAAATCTAAATAAACTATGCCCATAGTGTTTCCTTAACCATTAGTCACTTTGTCAAAGAAGGCAAGGTTTGTCTGGCATGGTTTATTTGTGGCAAACCAATGCTGGCTTCTTCCGTGTTTCCCCAAAAATAACACCCACCCCGAAAATAAGCCTGATTTTTTGGGGTGGACCTAATATAAGCCCCACTCCAAAAATAAGCCCGAGGGTGGGCGTGGCCAGCATAAGCGGCGGCGAGCACGCAGGGGCCGATGGTGTCCAGCAGCAGTCGCAGCCCGCCGGCTCTTGGGCAGAGCAGGTAAGTCTGTGCTTGGAGGCAGAAGCGGGGGGTGTTTGGGCGCCTATGGGGCGCTTCAGAATGAAGCAATTCACTTGGTTCTGAAGCGCCCCATAGGCACCCACTTTTCCCCTGGAGATCTGACTGAGACTGGAAGCTCCGTTTGCTGCAAATGGGATGCTTGGAGACAGAGCTAATCGCTCCATTTCAAAGCACCCCATTTGCAAGGAGACGGAGCTTCCATTCTACATCAGATCTCTATCCCGGGTGGCAGCGGATTTTCATGCGTCAGCTGGCTTGGTGGTGGCGATGGAGCACTCTGCCGCTGCCACTGCTTCCCAAGCCAGCAGATGCACATGAAAATCCTGGGTAGCAAGTGAAGGTGGAGCTTGGGAGACAGCATCGGGGCATGGCGCAGCAGCAGCAGCAGCAGCAGCAGCAGCAGCAGCAGCAGCAGCAGAATCTCCCCGGGATGGCCCCACCTGTGCCAGCTGCACGCTATTTAAACCTAAATGCCAAGACTGGAGCCTCAGGCTGGTAAGGAGGTGGAGGCTCCAGGCAGAGATGGCGGCTGCAATGGGGAGGCAGACCAGGCGACAAGTGAAGCATTCCACCACCACTTCCCTCTCGGAGCTGCAAGCGCAAGGCCGAGACTCCGGTCTACTCGCTTAGAGTTAAATAGCGCACAGCTGGCACCAGTGAGGCCATGGGGGGGGATTTCGCTATTGCTCGTGGCGGTGGTGGCACAAGCAGCCGCAGAAGTGGGGGGCGCGACAGTTGTTGGGGTGTGGGAGGCCTGGCTGTGGTGGTCCTGCGGTAAATGGGTGTGGGGTGTGTGGGACAGCTCTCCCCCACCTGCCTCACCTTGTGGTGGGGGCACTGGGCTCCTACTGCCGCGAGGCAAGGCATATGTTGGGGAAAAAATAAGACAAAGGCAAAAAAAGACAAAAAAAATAAGGCAAAAAAATATATATATATAAGGCCCAGTCTTATTTTCAGGGAAACACAGTAGTAATTGTCTTGTTTGTTTTTAGGTGCTCACAAATGTGCTGCTTAATTATCTTTTCCAGGATCTTTCCAGGTATTGATGTCAGGCTGATTGGTTTATAGTTTCCTGGATCCACTTTTTCTCCCTTTTTGTAGATTGGAACATCAACTCATTTCTAGTCCTCTGGTAGTTCCCCGGTGCTCCAGCTTTGAAAGATTTTATTCAGTGGTTTTGAGCTCACATCTGCCAGCTCCTTCAGAACCCTGGGATGTAATCAGTAGTGGGATTCAGCCAGTTTGCACCACTTCGACAGAACCGGTAGCTAATTTTTTGTTGACCAGGCCCAGAATGGGCTTCCGGAAGCAGCATCCACACAGAGAACCGGTTGTTCACATATTTGAATTCCACCACTGGATGTAATCCATTTGGTCCTGGCAATTTGAACTCATCTAGAGTGAATAGATGTTCTTTCCCTTTTTCCTGCCTATTTTGACTTGCGTTCCTATTCTGTTACCTATAGTGCTGCTTTTGATAAATTGGACTATTTTTTCTTTTGCATAAAGACAGATGCAAACAATGAATTAAGCAGTTCCACTTTCTCCCTGCCACCCATCACCTCATTTCCATCTTCTTAGTTTATTGAAGTGAGCTGCCAATAAATTTGATTTATACATAAATAGGCTATCAAATGCATAAAGCTTCATTTTTGCGCGCATCTGTTTATGCATTCACAAACATACGTATAGAAAAAAAATAGGTACATACTGATGAAATGAAAAACGTAAAATACTTTTTTACATTTTATAATCATATGACATCACTATCTCTAAAATGATGCTTGATATGTTCGGTTTAGAAGCTCTTGAGTAATAATGCGTTTACATTTTTAAGAAGCCATTCCGCTTTGGAATTCTGCCTCGCTTGACAAGAGTGACGGTGAGGACATTCGTCCCGCCTACTCTTGGGCAAGTTCTGCGTAGTCTATTGGAACAACTTGCTGATTGATAGCTTCCCGGCGACTGGTGAACCCAACCCTTTCCGTGCTGAGCGGCCCGGAAATGAACCTGCTTCAGTGCAAAAGGGCTGAGTGGTAACGCGATGTCTGGGCAGCCGTTGCGGGTCAACGCAGTGTTTGCTGCACGTTATGGAAAGTACCGGCGTCGCGAGGAGCTGCAGCGGCGTGAGTCGTGGACAAAGTGGTCGGGTTTGGGCTTTGGAGGATTTGTTACGGGGATTTGTTACGGCCTTTGGCGCTGTCTTCATATAATGCCTGGTTTCTCGCTCCCTCAGTGCAGGACAAATATGGGGAAGAGGAGAAAGCCTCGAGTTCCGAGTCGGCGTCTAGCGAAGAAGAGGTGGGTAGGCGTTATGCCGCCAATTTGAGGGGCAAATAGTGACAAGAAGCTCTAATTTCTGTTAATCCGGGAGAATCGGGTTGCGTTTCCTGACGAGTGTTGTTCCCTTGGTACTCTGAAAACTGAAATTCCAAAGCATTCGGAGCGACGGCTGGGATGAAGTTTAGGAGCCGTTTCCCTATGCAAGTGAAACACTGCCCTCTCAGGGGTTCGCAAGGGGGAACTCTGATATTTGCTGCCAGGGGACGCGGTTCTTATCACCTTCCTAGAAGTGTTGCTTATAATTTAAATTTTTAAATTCTGAATTTATATCTAATGAAGATTTATTGAAGATTTTCTGTGTCTTGCAAGGATTAAAAGCAAAAGCAATAAATTAAAAACACTGATAAAAGACATGGAGAGGGCCAGGAAGAATTCTTAGCAATAAGCACTGGATAAAACTCTTTTCTGGAGAAAGGGCCCTGTCTTCAGGACTCTTTTGAAGGACAGCAGGATCAGACCTCTTAAGGCAGGGATCTCCAACCCCCAGTCCATGGATCAGTACTGGGCTGCGGCATACCTGCAACTAGGCCACACAAACAAGCAAAGCCACATCTGTGGGATGCAGGCAGCACACAAAACCATGCATCTCCCAGTCCGCAGAAAAACCTCTCTCCACAGAACCGGTCCCTGGTGCCCAAAAGATTGGGGACCTCTGTCCTAAGGGACTCTATTATAAAGGGCAGGCTATAAAGCTTTCTGTTGTTTATACTTTTCAGGTTCTCTCTTTGCTGGGAAAAATTGAAAAATAGTACCACAGAGCAACTATTTTTTTTCTAATGGTAATATTCACCTTTGGTGGTTCTTTCCTTCTATGATAGGAACTTGACTCCAAACTGGATCGTGCTTTTTATTCCATGTTAGGCTTATTAAAAACAAAGGATCCCCGAATTTATCAAAAGAACATCGCTTTCTACACTGAGGAAGGTGAGTATGAGTTACAATTTTTTTTGGATTAAGGCAACTGTCCAGTGGCTTTATCCAAATATAAATACACACATTTCATTATTTGGGTTGGGTAATGATATTTTACTTTACTAGAAGTTGTCAGGTGATCAGTTATGCTTGATTCTCTTCTCAGATTCTTGTTCGGCCATTGTTTGTAAGAAGACTTCTACAAAGAAGGGAAAAAAGCCCATGTTTCTTAAGGATTATGAGAGAAAAGTTATGGTGGAGAAGGCAGGGTAAGACATAAAAAGTTGGACTACCTCATAATTAATATTTAGGTTAGAGATGTTGAGCACTAAGAGTTTATCTTTGCTTAAATGATTTCAGGGAGGAGTGTAATTGGGATAGCATTAGGTACATTTTACACTTATTTTCTGAGGTTTATCAAGTCATTGACAAAACACAGAAGATACGTATTTGAATCTTTATCTTCATATTAAGTCCAAATATCTTCTGTGTTCAAGTATTTTTTCAATGGTACAAGTAGTTCTCATTTAGTGATCACGACTGGGATTAGGAACTAAATCACTAAGGGGAAAATCACATGACCACAACTGTGCTTATGATTTTATCTTAGCTTTCCTCTCGTCTCTCCCCCTCCCCATGCGTTGTCTTTCAAATACTTACCCGGGCACTGGGATAATTAGCAAGAAGAGAATTGTATTTACATTCACTCTCAAAGAAGGAATTATAAGAGAGGAAGCAGGCACTCAATGGGGAATACGCATTTTACCATGAAACAGATTTCCTGAAAGCTATCTGCTATTTTTTTATGTCATTTCTTTGGCATGTAATTTTTAATATTCATTGATACATTATACAATCTACAATCACAGTTGGGACCAAAATTTCTATTGCTAGGCAAAGTGGTTTTTAAGTAAGATGGGCCTGATTTTACAACATTTTTTGTTATGGTTGTTAAGTGAATTGTGGTTGCAAAGCTTTTCCCATTGACTTTGCTTGTTGAAAGCTGACTGAGAAGTTCACAAATCGGATCACGTGGTCCCAGGATGCTACAACTATCATTAATAAATGCTGATTACCAAGTGTCTAAATTTTGATCATGTGAACCTAGGGAGTGGGCATTGTTTGTAAGTGTGAGGATCAGTTATAAATCAGTGTTTTTCAGTGCTGTTGTAACTTTAAATGGTCACTGAATGGTTGTAGATTGAGGTCTGTCTGTAATATCCCTGCACCTATGTGTATTTGTTTAAAATAATGTAGCAGCAATTAGATTGTATAAAGAATGCTTGACTTGCTTTGTAGCCAGCTCCTTGGTTTATAAGCTCACCCAACAAAAGTTGTGTTTGTCTGAAGATTACCCATACTGATTCCTTATTCTGGAAAAATTTTCATTATCTACCGTGTTTCCCTGAAAGTAAGACTCGGTCTTACTTTCTTTTGGGCTCTGAAGTAAGCATGAGGATTTACTTTTGGGGAGGGCTTACTTTTTGCCAGTACCAGTAGGCCGTGAGTGTGGGGGGTGGGACAGGGCCTGTGCATGGGGTGGAGAGTGTGGTGGCAGGCCAGGTACGGCACCGGTGCGGACAGGGCGTGCCCTTCCCGTGCCAGGCCAGTTCCTGCAGCCCTGGGGTGGCCATACTGGGCAGCGACCAGGCCAACCAAAGCAGCAGTTGGAGCACTGGAGGCTCGGGGGAGGGTGGTGAAGCGGGCGGGGTGCGTGCCCTTCCTGTGCCAGGCCAGCCCCGGGGCAGCCGGGAAAGGCGCTGAGATGGGGGCAGCCAGGACGACGCTCCTCCGGCTGGAGCCTTTGCCCCAGGACCAAAGCAGCAGATGGCGTGCCGGAGGCTCAGGGAGGTAGGGTGGTGGAGCGGGCAGGCTTCCCGCCGTCAGCACCCATGCTGGCTGCCCCTTCCCCTTGGAGCTGGAGAGCTTGCCACACCACCACCCAGATGTCCTTGCTTCCCCCAGGAATTGTATTTCTTTGCTTACCTGACTCCCAGTACCGTTTCTCCTTCGTGATCCGCCGCCACAGTGTGCAGGGAAACAAAAAGAAGTATCTGGGGGGAAAAAAGGTCAATCCCAACTTTGCAAGATTTTTTTTTTCGCAAGAAGTTGAAATTGATTGACTGACCTTTTTGTTTGGGTGACAACCCAAATGACAGTATTTCCCGCGCTTTCAGGTAGCTCCACAATAAAATCCATGGAGATTTCTCTCCAGGGTGCTGAAGGGCTCGCTACTGGCTGCAGGAGGCCAGGCATTTTCCCCTGCCTCTGCTTGGCCGCACATATTGGGCAGCTGGCCACATAGCTTTCAATGTCTTTGTTTAAAGATGGCCACCAAAATTGCCGCTTAAGCAGGTAAAGAGTCTTTACAAACCCAAAGTGTCCTGCCTTTTTCGAATTGGGACAGGCCTGCATGATTCTTAGTCTCTGACTTGCAGGCATATACAGTTTTCCTCCAACCCAGGCCAAACCATCTTGCATCGAACAGAGATCTCTGTATCCTCCGAACCACTCATCTTTTTCCAGCAGCTTTAACTCTCCGACCCCCACATTGTCTAATGGCGGGGTTTTCCTAGCCTGCACTCTTGTAGCGAAGGGCCGCCAGTTACTGTGGGGAAAGGAGGGGTTTAACCACGTCCGCCTTCCTACTGTTGTATTGTGGCATTCCTGACACAGCATCTACCAGGAAGCTTTTTCCTCCGGGCAGGTAGTGGATGGTGGAAGTGTTGGGCCTGTTTCAGAGACAATCTCCTGGGGATTTTTAAAGCTTCAAGATTCTTATGATCAGTCCAGACCTGGAAACAAATGTCTTCTAAGAAATGTCTCCAGGTTAAGAGGACCCATCTTACTGCATAGGCCTCCTTTTCCCAAGCAGTCCATCATTGTTCAGTCTCAGACAGCATTTGGATGTGTAAGTACAGGGTTGTAACTGACCCTGCTGGTTTTTCTGCAGTAATACGCCCCCACTGCCACATCGTTAGCATCAGCCTGAATCACAAATGGCTTTTCCAGGTCCAGGTGTTTCAACACCGGCTCCGCGGAAAAAAGTTCTTAAGTTTCTTGAACGCAGATTGACATTCTGCTGTCCATTTTAGTGGCTGGCTGGACTTTGGCTTACCCCCTCCCTTAATCTTCAGTAAGTTAGTGCAAGGGAGTGGAATTTGAGCAAACAAGGGGATAAATTGCCTGTAAAAGTTGGCAAACCCCAGAAAGCTCTGTAACTGCTTCCTGGTGCAGGGAGGGGTCCATTCCATGATGGCCCACACTTTCTATGGGTCCATCTCCACTCCTTCGTGGGAGATGTTATAGCCCAGATAGTCAATTCTGTCCTTAGGAATTCACACTTTGAGAGTTTGGCATACAATTTAGCAGTGCGGAGGTTCTTTAGGACTGCCCTAACTAACTTTACATGTTCAGCTTTAGTTTCAGTGTATATCAAGATATCGTCCAAATACACCAGAACCCCCTTGTACAAGTGCTCATGGAGGGCCTCATTGATTAGTTGTATGAACACTGCTGGGGCTCCATGTAACCTGAAAGGGAGTACCCTAAACTGGAAGCAACCTAGGGGGCAGTTGAAAGCAGTCTTCCATTCATCCCCCTCTTTAATGCGATAGTACGCTTCTCGCAAGTCTAACTTAGAAAAGATTTTTTCTTTTGCTAGGTGAGCTAACATGTCCCTCATGGTGAGGGGGGAGCTCATCTGACCTCTTTTCGCTGAAAACCTTGGCTAAATCATGGTACTCTTTTGGAATGCTCTGAGTCTCTTGCTCACTCAATGCGGACACTAATTCTTGCTTCAAACCCTCTGTTCTATTACCAGGCAATCCCGGGGAGGAGCTCTCTTCCTTGGGAACTTTAGCTGCCCCTCTCTTCAGTCAATTAAGGAGTTCCATTTCTTTAACCAGGTTAGCCTAAGGACAAGGGGCCATTCCATGCCAGGAGCCACAATGAAAGCCAAAGTCTCTGAGTGGCATCCCATGGTGAGTCCCTGGGGTTCGATGACAAAGCTTGCTAGGGTGATGACCCTGATCTTAGCTGCATCGTTGGGGAGAGACCTCCCATACACTTGAATGTATGTGAGGATGTGAGCCAAGAAGAATCCCAATTGTTGAGGATCCCCATCAAATTTAACTCCCAATGGAACTAGCTTTGGCTCATCCAGGGGAGTTCTCTTTCGAGGTGATCGTGGGGACCGAGCCCTCCAAGGGATGGCTTGCTGTCAGACTGCCTGAGTAGTTTCTGTCGACCCTGCGGCCCTGCCTGCCACCTCGGTGGTTACAGTCTCTCCTTCACCATGTTTGACTCCCTTGGCTAGTTCTTCCTTTTCTTGACAGTCCAGGGATGTGGCTTTCAGGTCCTTGAAAACTTCCACCATGTAATGTATGGCTCACTTCAAGATCCCTTCCATCAGGTCTGACTGCTTGTCTGATTCTTCATCGTCAGAAAACATTTCCATCCTTTACTTTCAAGTCTTCTTCCAACCTCCTTGGGTGAAAGTTACTCTTTGGGTTCTTTCTTCCCAGTCCTCTTTCTTCCCGTCACCGAGTGACCATCTCGGCCTCGAGGAGCCTGCCCCACCTGTGCCAGCAGAGGGGGCATGCTGCAGACCCTGTCAGTCAAGGAATTCCAGCTGACCAGGTCTAGGAGAAGAGCCTTTTCTGTTGTGGCCCCTGCCCTTTGGAACATTGTACTGCCCAAAGTGAGATTTGTACCCATTCTTTTGACCTTTTGTAAGGGCCTGAAAACAGGGGTGCACATTTTGCAATGGTGGTTGGATTAGGAAAGACCCCACCTCTTCCCATGTACTTCATATTCCTCTCCTCATCTTTTAATGCTATTTATTATTGTTTCTATTGTTTTATTATTTTAATGTGTGCCTGTTTTAATGTTTGTAAGCCATCCATGGTCATCTGGATGAGATGGGCAGCACATAAATACATAAACAGGAGCACTTTCAACCAGCATAGCTTGAATGGTACCCATGTTCCCTAACTCTCCTAATTTCTCTGGTGGCATTGCCTAATGCACAGGCATTGATGTGCACAGATATTTAGCAATATGGCCAAATTCAAATTGGGATGGTTTGTTTATAAAGTAGCAGTAGAGTGCTTTCTTATAAAGACAAAAGATATGCAACAGTATATTTACATTTGTTTGGACAGGATAGAAAAAGGTAATGAGAGATAAGTGAAGAAAGGAGCAGTACATTGGTTAATTGAAATATCTTCAAATAAAATTTGTAATACATTGTGATGGGATAGGAGAA